AGGAAAAGCCGATTCGAGTGTCGGGGGGGGGGGATAAAAATAGTTCCTTATGTGATTTTTTGCAAAATATAAATTCCAACTGTGTTGCTGGCAATGTAATATGACCTTCGTGAAAGTTTCTTATGCCCATAATCAACAGCATCTATGGGATACGCAGGGTAGCATGTGAGTGTTGCTTCTCTATGGAAATTGGTATACTTCATAAGAACTGTTACATTTTGTCCGTACTCGAACAATGATAAGTACAAGTTTACAGACATGTTTTTTTTATCAGTGGTCAATCATAAACATGGGCCACTGTTGGACGAAAGTTTCCCTAATCCGCTGCCATATCTCACGATCCTGTGATGCAACAATCCACCCAGCACCACCAAGTGCCGGATTATCCGAGGAGCAAAAGTAGCTACACATGCTCCGGGCCCCGCACTTTCAAGGGCTTTCAAGCTGTCAATTCCGGTTGAGTGATTCCGCACTTGCTCTATTACCATAGTACTATACTGCCTTCCATTTTTATGATCAACCGGCTGTATAGCAAATGAAAAAATACAATTACTTTACTATGCAAGTTCAACATTGTGTTTTAATTTTAATGTTTTTAAAAAAAAATTTAGGGTCCCTTTATAACATTTGCCGCAGGCTCCGCACTAGCTTAAGCCAGCACTGGGGACCTACACATCAGCTGCTTTCATCGCTCCATCTCCACGGTAGATGTCCGCTATCCCACTTGCGAAATCTTATTTATCTGACGCTAGCCGGGCAAGATTTGACACGCTCTTCAGGTGGTGGCGCAATCTGGCCCCGGCACAACCGCTGACGTTATCAACGACCAGCGTCGCGGAGTTGATGCCGAAGATTTTCCAAAAAACCGTGGAGAGAGTTGGGCATCAGGCAGGAACGTACCACGGGCATACCATCCTCACGCTCACGGGGTAGTTGAGCGTGCGAACCGGACGCTAGCGGGTAAAAACTGAGAATAAGTAATATTAAAAAAAAACACTTTTTTTTAAAACACGCTTTTATGAAATGTACTAGTAATGGCAGAATTCCACGACTCCAAGAAGTGGCCCCGAAGCTTGCCATAACGTAAGCGACCTTGGTGATTTACAGCCAACGTCAGTTTACCGTGGACAATTAGACCCAAGCCGAAACATAACATATGAAAAATATATCTTTATATTTTTAATGATAAAATATAGTATTGTAATCAGTATGACATAAGTATACCAAGTTTGCAGTCGATACCACATTGGGAAGTGGGTTAAAATTGAGTTACAAGATTTGAGGTTACAACAACGACAACAACAGACAGTGAGTTAATTCTAGATTGGAAGTTTTCGTGACTGCAATGATCCATACTCTTTGGTTATTTCGGTAAAGTCACGTAGGTAAAAATAAAAAAAATAAAGTTAATCAAATCACGACGTTTCGGAGGCAACACAAGCTTAAGCATAATTTTGCTATAGGAATAGGTTTTACCCTTTTAACTGGCACAAAAACTGACACCTTTATTCAAGGCATCATGTTTGCAATAACCACAACACAAGCAGTCAAAATGCAAACAAAAAAGACAACTCTGATAATAATATGCACTGTCCTTGAATTTGATTGGTCCACACCCGAGACAGCTTTTCTTAGAGCCTAGTCTCCATTGGTGTTGGACCAGAAGACGCCAAAAGGCGTACAACTCAAAAACAGCGCACTATCAGAGTATTGAGGGCTCGGGGTGAGCATTAACATTATGAGACCTTTGCCAGAAACAAGATATAGGAATAGGTTTTACCCTTTTAACTGGCACAAAAACTGACACCTTTATTCGAGGCATCATGTTTGCAATGACCACAACACAAGCAGTCAAAATGCAAACAAAAAAAAACATAATTTTGCTGTGCTAGTTACACCTGATGACGGAAGCGTGTAAAAATGGTAGCGACGTAAAAATGGTAACAGGACTGGGACGACCACTTCTCCCCTATGTCATGTCCATCTACCACACGTGTATGTTAGTGTTAGAGACGTCTGTAAGAGTTCTTCCTAACGCCTGTGGTCAGTGTGACCAGACAGAAGCGAGATGCTTCGCCGTGCCACCGGCTCATTGTGTAAAAACGAGCGCCGCTGGATGCGATGGTTTTCTTGTAGAAAAGGGGAAACTTCAGTTCAATAATATCATTTTTTTTTTATATAGCGTCATTCATGCAATTGCATCCCACAACGCTGCACATCAATTATCCAATTTCGGACACAGATAATACAAAAAAAAACTCCATTACTTAGCAAAAATATAACATTTTTAATACATAACGATAAAAATACACGTAAGAAAATAAATTGAAATAAATAAATCCGTTTGGTGCAATACCGTCACCTGATGGCCGAGCAGTTTTATAGCAGCGGTGGCTAGGAGATGTTAACTCCCTCGCCTGGTATGCAGAGGGTCGTGGGTTAAACCCCGACCCTGACGCCTGCTGCTGTATATTTTGAGTTTGCGTGTCTCTCTGTCTCTCTCTCTTCTCCCCGTGGTCTCGTGGATTTTTCTCCAAGTCCTCGGGGTTTTCTCTCCACATTTAGAATCAACGTGCGTTTAGTGATTTTAGCTGCTATCAATGTCCAAGTGATGAAAAGCCACTTCGTTGAGCTATAATCTGTGGCCAGGTCGCTTCTGAAAAATAGCTACATAGCTCACTGGGCCTTACCTGGTAAAATAAAAATTGTCGTGAGAATTTTATTGTTTTATATTTTTATTATGTTATTGTTTCCTTCTACGTGACTTTACCGAAAGAACCAAGAATATGAATCCCTACAGTCACGAAAGTTTAAAATAAAAAATGTATAAGAGTTGTTTATAGAAACTTAAGTTTAAATTTCGAAGTTTGTTGCAAAAGCGCCACGCAGTGGCCTAGATTATTTGGCTTCTGTAAATTTACACGTCAACCACAAAGTTGAGCTGGCATTTGTATGCCAGGTCGCTTCTGAAAAAGAGCTACAGTATATTGATAGCTCAGTGGGCCTTACCTGGTAAAATTAAAATAGTTTAAGAGTTTAGTTTTTAGAAACGTCAGTTTGGTGGTGTAAAAGCACCACCTCGTGGCCTAGATGGGAAGTGGCATAATTGTTTACATTTCCTCCACGGAACTTCGCACAACTGTCTTGTTTTTGTTATTTTTTGTTGTTGTAACGTTCTTTCAGTTTCCGTTTAATTTAGTTGGTATAGCCCTGTTAGCCATTCGGCTCTTGAATATGGTGCAACCGCAACAAACAAAAAGATGAACAAGAAACATCTTAGTGTGACTACGCGCAAACAGAAAAATCCAGGAAAGAACAGCAGTCTTCCAGAAAAAGCACCGCATATCAACGTTGTGTACAAAAATCCCAGTGGGATGCAAGTCAAAAAATAACAACCATAAGATAATTTAGATTAAAGTTATCAGTCTAACTCTGTACTACAACAAATATGGCTAAACCAAAAAACTTTTCTAAATCACCAAAATAAAGCTATAAAAGCAATGTAACTGATCATAGGAACTGTGATTGAAATTTTACAATAAACGATATACATAACATGTACTACCAAACTTTGCAGCCATAGCTGGCTGCATGAGTCACTCCATAACAGCAAGAGTATCAGTAGGAGTATCAATTTTTTTCGCCCCTACTGGACATCAGTGAAAAAGAGCTTTATAGCTCATCGGATTCCTCCGGTATAAATAAATATTCAGATTCTGGTTGTGGAGGCACTGAGAGGGAGAATTCCCCAGCGTTGTGGAGCGGCGATGCAAGCTCATCCGGCAAGGGGCCAAGCCACGACATTAGAATCAGAATCTTTATTTAATACGGGAGTAATCCGATGAGCCATGAAGCTCTTTTTCACAGATGTCCAGAAGGATGCGGGGGGGGGGGGTCACAGAACGTTACAACAAACGATACAAAAACGCGATAGGAGCGCATAGCAAAGGCAAACACATCACTTGTTTTTTTTAATCTTTCCAGATAAAGCCCCACTGAGCTGTTCACTTATTTTTTCGAAGTGGCCTGGCCACAAATGATAGCTCAACTCTGTGGCTTCTTATCACGTGGACATTTTTATGGCAGCAAAATAATAACGGCACGGCTGCCGTGTCACTGGGGGCGCTCAACGCAGCAGGGACCAAGGATGCAACCCCCAAGGAAATGGTGAGGTTCTGCTGTGTTAATCCCGTGACCATCATCACCACCACCACCACCACCGTTGCCATTATCACAAATTCACATGTACATATGTATAGCGATCAAGTGAATGGGAAAACAACGAAATATTGCGCATTTAAAGAAACGTCAGACTTAGTGAGATTGCCATTTGCACAAATTCACGTGTAAATATGTACAGCGATCAAGTGAATGGACAAACAACGAAATGGGTGGCATTTAAAGAAACGTCAGACTTGGTAAGATTTTTTTTGCTCCCCCTGTAATTTTTTTTATTATCACCACAATTCCATTGCCACCATTAATTTAATTCCAGTATACAGTAACTTTATCGCAGCCTCTGGGCTACAGTACTGTCATGTAATTAAGTGTAAAGGTGCAGCCGATGTTTTATTTCGCAACTTTTGGAGGCAATGAAGCTTTCCACTCACGATGGGCAGGCTCCAGAGGCCACTCTAAGATAGAGATAATATCGAGCATTTTGTAACCATTAATCTTATCCGCACATACAACTACACCGCGCGTTTATGGCAGAGACACCAGCAACTGAACACCAAAACAAATATAGCACGAATTACACACATAAAAAAAACCGAAAATCAATGAGATGGGAACTATTTTGCCCGACTCATCACCCCCCCCCCCAATTCGTTAATATATTCAGTGGGGGGTGGTGGTGGGTGAGGGGTGGTGGTGGGTGGGGGGTGGTGGTGGGTGGGGGGTGGTGGTGGGTGGGGGGTGGTGGTGGGTGGGGGGTGGTGGTGGGTGGGGGGTGGTGGTGGGTGGGGGGTGGTGGTGGTGGGAGGTGCCGCTCCGCGTTGGAGGCGGAGCACGCGCGGAAGGCTCCAGTCCGGGGCTCTTCCCGGCTCCCGTGGAGACTGATTCCTGCCACTCCTCGCATCCCCTCGCTCGCTCCCAGTTCGAACCCTGACCCCCCCACCACCACCGCCGCAATGCTGCCTGCAGGTTCCACCAAGTTCCAGGCTCCCTCTGCAATGAAGCCAGTGAGAGGTCGAGGCGGCTTGCCGGCCGCGCTGTCGTCGGGGCCCAGGTCCCGCGTCTTCGCCGCCGCCGCCCCTGCAGGCGGACAGAAGCTCACGCACCCGGGCAAAGCGATCCTGGCCGGTACGGGGACCCCCCCCCCACACACACACACACACCCCCTACACTACCCCCCCACACACACACACACCCCCTACACTACCCCCCCACACACACCCTACACTACCCCCCCCCCCCCAAATAAAACCACTCCTTGCCGGTACACACGGCTCGCTCGCACTGGCAACACTCGCATCGGTGCACCTAACACTCCACGTGGTACTGCTCACACACTCACACACATCACACACTCACACACATCACACACTCACACACATCACACACTCACACACATCACACACTCACTCACATCACACACTCACTCACATCACACACTCACTCACATCACACACTCACTCACATCACACACTCACTCACATCACACACTCACACACTCACATCACACACTTACACACACTCACACACACTCCCACACTCACATCACACACATCACACACTCACATCAACAACCGCCATTCGCCACTAAGTGGCGGTGACGTCACCACGACGCTTGTGCCAGGCTATGTGCACCTTGAGGCCACGTGAAGTGTCGAACGCCCGCTGACAGGAGGTCACGGGGCAGACCCAGGTGCCACGGGTCGACTGACTGAGATGACTGGCTGATGCACCACCTGTGCCCCCTACTGTGCCAACCTGCTGTGCTTTAGCCACCCGGCGCTCCACTCGTTGTTCTGAGCGTCGCTCCTCCGCCCTCCGTTGTTGTTGGAGGGCGACTGCCTCCAACTGCCCAGTAGCATCCTTCACGAGCCTCCTCCACAGAGGCCGATCTTGACACCGCTGGTACCAGTCATCGGCAAGTCCACTCAGCTCCACGTCCTCCTGTACCACATCACTCCCATCTCTTCTCTAGCCCGTGCCGCGCCAGCTTAGCCCCCTCAATCCGGCCGAACAAAAGCTGTTTCGGCATGCGGTGGCTGGGCATGCGGGCTACATGACCCAGCCATCGCAGCCTTGCCCGCCGGAGGAGCTCACCGATGGGACCTTGCCCAGATCTTTCAAGGATTTGTGAGCTCCTCACATAATCCAGTCTGGTTAAACCCAGGATGGATCGTAGGCAGGCCAGCCTAAATATTTCTAACCGGCGAAGATGTTCCATTAGGGGGGTCCACGTTTCGCAAGCGTAGAGAAGTGAGGGAATGACCGTGGCCGAGAAGACCTGAAGCTTAGTGCGGAGCGACAGACCAGGTAGCTTCCACACAGCGTTACGCAACCGATGAAAAGATTTTGCCGCTCGACTGATTCGGAGTGAGATCTCTGCTGTTAAACTGGAGCCAGTCATAAGCACACTGCCCAGGTATGGGAAACTCTCCACTCTCTCCACAACTGCCCCATCACCGATTGGGAGTTGTGGGGGTGCAGTGTCCGATGGTACAAAATACCCAGGCAGGTGCTTAGTTTTGGTGGGGCTGATGGTAAGGCCCCACCTCTTAGTGGCACGCTCCAGTCTCAGCAGCAGCGTCTCCAACTCCTCCTCTGAATGTGTAGCTATTACCAAATCATCGGCATACATAACGTGGTTGAGCAATAGGGAGCCATCCCTTGACCGCACCCGGGCATCGATCAGCCTCCCATTATATCTGTACCAAATGGAGATTCCCCCGGTACAGCTATTGAAGGCTTCACGAACTACGTGGTCAAAATAGATGTTAAATAATGTGGGAGCCAGAGGCCATCCCTGTCGCACCCCAAGGTGTACAGGGGAATGGCTCTGACTCGCACACACTCACATTCACATCACACTTGATAGACTTACTGCTGACGCACTCACGTTCTTCCGGATGCTGTCACGCTCCGAGTGGTAGGCAACAACGTTCACACTCCCCGGCGCTTCCGCACAACATGACTGTCGCCAAACACTCCCCCTGTGTAACACTCCTACCCGGTGCACTCATTCACCCTTCTTCCCATCACTTCGTCACACTGTCTAGTAGTAGTGCTACTGCCACACTGCTCACACACTTAACGCTACGTTGCCATACTGTAAATCTCATATCGGTTACATTCGTGTTGGGTGCTGTCCGCACTTCTGATGCACTCACACGACCACACAGTTTGTTCCAGCTCTGTTAAAAGCCAGGGGCGAGATGTTAAATGCCTTGCCTGGTATGCAGGAGGTCGTGGGTTTGACCCTGACCCCTTGCATATTTGGAGTTTGCGTGTCTCTCTCTCCCCGTGGTCGCGTGGATTTTTGCTCGGGGTACACCGCTTTTTTCCTTCCTCCCCTCCGCACATTTAGAAACGTGCGTTTCGAGTATTTGGCCGTAATACATTTCCACACGATACGCCAGTAAGTTGTGGCCAGGGGTCGCTTCGGCAAACTAGTAGCTACATCGCTCTAAATATAGTTAATAGTTCTGTTGCAGCCTTACGCATTCACTGGTGGTGTCCCCTCATCCACTTCACGTGCTCTCTCTCACGCTGCATGTGATGCCCACCACCACTCATAATCGTCTTAACAGAGTTCATTCAGGGTCATTAATACTCTTTGGTTCTATTGGGTAAAGTCACGTAGGTGAAAATATTGTTATTTTATTTTCACCTACGTGACTTTACCCAATAGAACCAAAGAGTATGGATCCTAGCAGTCACGAAAGCTTTAAATCCAGGGTCATTAAGTTGGTCTGTTTCCCACATTGGAGGAGCTTCTGGAGGTGAATAACTGCGTCGACACATAGTCTAGAATACTGAGGTCTCATCCACATGGCACTGTTTACACATCCCTGTTAGAGTGAAATCAACACCCAGGGCATCCGTGGTTGTTGCTCGCTGGTGCTGCGATGTGGCTTTAGTATTGCATTCTAATGCAATTCTATACCTTGTTTTTTTTGTGTGTCTAAGAGTCAAAAGGTGTAAGGCCCTGCAATTTCCTGCTCAGGCCACTGCTGGCGGATGGGTCTCCACTAGATGGAGCTGTAGAAAGCGTCTCTGGAGTGAATTTGGCCTCCTCTTCCCCAATGCCTTTGTTGTGTCCCGCTGTGTCTTATTGCGCACGCTGTGACACATGCTGTGGTGACTATACTCTGAAACATACGCGGAACCCCATTCTGTGTTTTTCTCACAGAACTGCAACATATTTTGTGGGTGGTTCATGAGTCAATTGGCCTTCGTCGCCAATATTATTCGGCAACATTTGTGAACTCTTGACCGGCTTTTGACCTTGATGCGTCCGATTTATCAGAGCGAGGCTTGTCACACATGGCACTGGATTAATTGTGCACACCGCAGTGTATTCAGTATATGAAATACGTAATTTGGCAAATAGTACACATTGAAGGGTGTGGGGGGAGCTTCGTGGTTAAAAGCAACACTCCCTGCAAGTGAAGTGTCTAGTCCAGTATAGTGAAATTTGGCAAATATTTTTCAGCGTCTTACAGACTCTGTGCATCAGAAAAACAATGAAGAGCGGGAACGCACCTCACCGGCTAACGTGCAGACAAACCCTACTACCTGTCGCAGCAACACGTGGTAAAGGGGCCGTCCATAAATGACGTCACGCACCTAGGGGGGGGGAGGTCAGACATTTGTGACGATGTGTGACGTGGGGTGGGTGGGGGGGGGTTTGAGAAATGTAACGTCACATCAAAATGCGCAACTTTGAATAAATATAGAATTGTTATAACAACACTAATTGTTATAACAACACTCCTACAACATCAGAGTGCACCGCCACATTAAATACGCACTACAATGACAATAATTTAAAGCGATTTGAAGCATGTTTTATATATTTTTTTGGGGGGGGGGGGGGCAGAGCTTTGTGACGTCATATTCGAGGTGGGGGGGGGGGGGCTGACTTTTGTGTGACGCCGTGTGACTAGGGGGAGGGGTCAAAAATCTCGTCCAAAATCGCGTGACGTCATTTATGGACGTCCCCTAAACCGTGGCGCGACTCGCCATGCGTGGCCAAATGGCCTAATGGAAACTCCGTTTCCACTCCGCTCTCCAGTGCGTTATTAAACAAACACAATAATCTTTGCACAACTTCTCACGTACGACCGTCACAAATCCTTCCCGACAAAGTTCACCGCTCGCGCGGCGTTCGTGCAACGCTACAGATGTCTTTTTTTTTCTGCAGATGTTCACGCGTTATAACAATTTAACCTGCCTATCTGCTGCATCCTCCCAATGAGTCGGTTGCGTGTGACGCTGTATTCTACTTTACATGTTTTGTGTTCTCACCTGTGTACCCTCTTGCGAAATAGGCACATTGCCTCAATGGGTTCAACTTGTCTAAAATAAAGGACATTTGGCAATGCATGTGTGCGTGTGGACTTAAATGCGTGCCGTGATTTCCCTTTGCGTAAAAATCTATATATTGCTGCGCTATAAAGTGCATTTGCCGCACATTCATCATCATTCACGTATTTGCAGACATGGCATTGTTCAGTATGCAATATTGGTCAACAAGTTGTAGCTGTGTGCCAAGTAAGAACAGCTGTCAAGGGTACACGAGGGCAGGGAGGCGTAGTGTGGAGGTGTGTGCTCTAAATTAGCACCAAATGGACAGTGGAACCTTGGTTGAAGGACTTCCAAAACGGTCATTACAATTGCGTGCCACACACGTGCTTCTGAATCAGACTCTTCAACATTCTCATCATCATCATCGGCCACGATCTACTGCTGGATGAAGACCTCGCAAAGCCGGTCATTATGCGTGTCACGCTCAAAGCCCACTTTTAACTTGTATTTGCAAACAAAAAGAACAAAAAAAGAGGACTCGCACGAAAGGGATGTGTGAACTCATCATGATCACCAGTCACGATCGAACCACTGCCGGATGAAGGTCTCTCCAAGCTGACCCATGGTCCCTTCGAGGGATTTGTCCGACCCAAACCAATTCACTTTTGTCACGTATATATGCTCATAAAACTCAAGCGATTGCTCGCCACAGGAATGTTTTTTTTTTCCTGTGTATGAGAAGCGATGCTTTTATGCATGTATTGCATGACACTGCACTTTTTCCTGGGCTCAAAAATAACATTGAACGAGTTATCAAACCAGTCGCGCAGCACTTGTACAGTTGACTAGTTGAGTACAAAAGGCCCTCTCTGCCTTTGTCAAATACAAAATGTGTAGGCGTTGGCAGTGGTTAAAGGGAGGTGATTTCAAAATTTACTATAAATAACTTAAGCATCCAGTAGAATTTGCATAATTGTAACGGTACATGTAGTACGTAGAGCGTCCTTGAGGGTTTGCTAAATTTTATTTCCATTTAAAATATTGAAAATGTTTTAACGGCATGTTTAATGCATTGCATTACCTTTATGGACATTGCATTACAGCGTAGTATTACCATTACAGTCACAACAGTTTAAATATACATGCGTATAACGTCATTGAGACATGTTGTGCAAACGCTAATATCCATAAATATCCTATCGTAATTAAATTATTTGATGGCATTGCATTAATAGTACACTATAATTACAACAGTACACACACTAGCCATGGATTTAACGAGGCCGCTTATCTAACCGATAATTCCTATTGTGCATCACAATTTCGTGCCTTGCGTCATCAAATTAACTTAAAAGCTGCCGGGTCTGCCGTTGGATGACCACTTATGCTGATGAATAATGATTTGGCTAAAACTCTGTTATGGGGGTGCCATGCATGTGGCAGGATGACTTGTGGTGTGCGGGGAGTGGTAGCGCAGGGGTTAGCGCACCCCGATCACGGTTTAAAAGCAGTGACGCTTATCGGAACCGGTCCTGGGCCTCCCCTAGGTCGACTCAGCCTCAAATGAACACCTGGTGCGGTGTCTCAACATCGCCACTGGGGAGACAAAGGCGGCCGTGCGTGGTTTATGGCCACCCACCCACCACCCCGCTTCGTGCCTCGTTCCGGCCTTCATAGCTTGCTACTCGTTCACAGCACTTGCCCCCCCCCCCCAACAGTCTAAAGGCTACACGGGGCGTCTGTCTTTGTGTGGTGGTGGTGGGGGTGGTGTGGGTGTGGCTGTGGTCGGCATGGGTCTGGTGGTGCGTGGGTGCCTGCGGCTCGGTGGTGCGACGCGATTGGCTGCGCGCGTGGGCACGAGCTCGCCTCGCCTCACTCTCTCCGCCAATGAGAACCGCGCCCCATTGTGTAAACATGAGGTGGGACCATTCTGTGCTGTCACGTGCTCTGCATAATGACGATGCGGAGAGAGAGAGAGATGTACATACGGCACATGTGCCAATTACACACAGACTGTTCGTGTGCCAATTACACACAGACTGTTCGTGTGCCAAGTTAATGAAGTTAATCTGGAAAAATGCCGAACGTTACACGTATATCGGGGGTCCCCATTGGTGTATAGCAGGGGTGGGAAACCTTTTTTTCTGCCAAGGGCCATTTGGGATCTTTACAACATCATTCGCGGGCCATACAAAATTATCGACTTAAAAATTTGCCCTGTTATATTTGCTCAAACATTTAATTAACTCGCCCCTAATGCGATGGCTGTAACTGCTTCTCTTTGGCGAGGCGTGGTGATGATGTTAGCCGGTATTGACGATGTTAGCTGGTATTGATGATGTTAGCTGGTATTGATGATGTTAGCTGGTATTGATGATGTTAGCTGGTATTGATGATGTTAGCCGGTATTGACGATGTTGTTACTACTCGCAACTGCTTTTCCAGGTTTGCTCCCTAGATTTATAGAATTTCGAGTCCCGCCTGCGGTTGCCTTGACAGGGCCAGAAACCAAATTATTTTGCGGGCCTCATACGGCCCGCGGGCCGGACGTTCCCCACCCCTGGCACTGTATAAGGGTAGTCTTTCAACTATTATTCACGCACGCTAACTGGGGCTCTAGCCCTGGTATATAAAGAAGGGCCATTTTTTTGTACTAAACAATGGCCATTTCGCATTGTTTTCCATCTAGAGCGGTGTTGGGGTTTTGTTATTTATGCTTATGCGCCACTGCCTTCGTATTGTCAACTATGTTTTGGTTCAATACGGTATGTTTGTGTGTTCATTGTATGTTAACTAGGAGCTGTGGCGTAGTGGTTATCATGCTGCTTTATAGACTCGGTGAACCAAGTTCGATTCCCACTCACGGCCAACATCAGTGACGAAAACTTGACCAGTTCTTGGCCTCCCCTAGGTCGACTCTGTCTTAAACATGTACCTCGTGCGATGTGTAATCATCGGCACTTGGGAGACATGTTGACTTTGGGAGACATGCGATTTGGCCTGCAGTGTGCCAGCCTTTAATAGGCGCTCACTAACAACAGCACTTCACCCAAAAGCCTGTTAAAAGCTCTATGGGGAATCTTTTGTTTTCCCATTGTGATGGATGCATGTTCCTTTGTGTGTCGTGTACCGTATTTGTGCATGCGCTGTACATACTGCATAAGCATACATGTCGATTTCATATTTATATGGGATTGGTACAGCATTTTTTGTATAGCCCTTTGTTAGTCCACTGCTATAATAAGCCTTCCCACACTGTCAGTTATGGGGGTTGTTGTTTGACCATACGTCACTACTTTGCTTAGTATTGGTTGGTAAGTAGGGCGTGACAAATATACGAAATGATGAATACAAGGAAATGTTTATACTGGTAGGAACGAAGTTGTAAACTGAGTGTACCAGCCTGCAATAGATTAATGTGTCCGTCCGTCCGTCCCCTTTCAATACTTTAACGAAGTGAAATCTCGTGCTGTTGGGTGTAAAATCAGCAATAGACAGCGCAGAGACTTGATATGTCTTATTGCACCCAACATTTGGAAGTCACGTAACAGGAATGCGTAACAATGTCATAAAATTGCGCAAAATTCCAATGTTCCTACCAGCCCACCCTGCAGGGACCTGTTATTTACTACTTGACTCATTGGTTTTAAATAAAATCCAACCTTGCATGTTATATTTCTTGCATTTACCACGAAATACTGTCAACGGAAATCGAGGTGATATTTTAACAATAATATTACACGGGGGGTACGTTTCCTACGATGGGGCCACTATTTTGCGTTACCCTTTTAAAATGCATCATGTTGATTTGGGAAGCCCAAAAAAAAAAAACGACTTGTGTAGGCTTTTAGAAAATGAAAAGGCCGCTTTTATTGCCACCGCCAGCCCACCAGGATTGCATTGCCTGTGCTTGTGGAAATAATGTAAATGCCACGGCAGTGATTGACAGCGTTGGCCGCGTTCGTTCCCTCGACCTTTAGCCGGACTGACACCGCATCCTGGGTTTTTTCTGACAGTTGCCCTGACGTGTTGTCGGCTTTCACAGACACACAGCCCCCCCCCCCCCCAAATGTTTTCTCTCCACCCTGTGATATAAATCAGACTGGCGATTTTATGCCAAATTGACTGCCGATGTTTTATAGGTAATCCATTCGTCCGGAGAGCAAGTGCTCACGCCATATCAATTTTAATTATTTCATGTTGATGACTATGAAAGGTTGGCTTGATATGAATTGCATCAGCGCACTGGGTACGAAATGAAATTTTGTTTTTTTGTTGTTGTTGTTGTTGTTGCTGCAGGTGGGATTGCCGGAGGAATTGAAATCTGCATCACATTTCCGACCGAATACGTGAAAACGCAGCTGCAGCTCGACGAAAAAGCAAACCCACCACGCTACAAAGGCATTGGTGATTGCGCACTTTAAGATAGTCTTGTCTTCGGGTACTGCGCAAAAGCCGTTTGAAATTGAATTACAAAAATGGTAGTGGTGGGCACTGGCCCATTTGGGGAAAAAAAGCCACACGTCACATTAATAATTTTATTAAAAGTGATTTGTTGCTCAAATGAGCAATGAGGTGATGCTCATCTCCTGTTTAAAGCCTTTAGCCAGTGGTGTAAATTTCACATTCCTATCACGGGGATGGTTATATCCAAAGGACAACCATTGTTGACTTCCCCATAAAGTGGTGTCAAAGTTTATGAACTCTAGAGGGATGCTGAGCAGAGTCAATCCAAACGACGATTTGAACTTGCTTACGCCTCATTGTGGACTGCTCGCTCGACCACGAGGCTACTTGCTCTGATATAGTGCCGCCTTATCATTACCACTTCTGGCTAATGGAAATATATAGATAGTAGGCTTACATTCCATGCAACGGCCCTTTAGAGAAGAGAGTAAGATCATTGCCCGAAATGTCAGCCTACGACACATGTAGCCTGAATGATGAATGTTTTGACCGTATTTTGAATTATCCCAATATTGAGTTATTTTGTTGACTATCAGAGTTTTAGTTGTATTTACATAGCACCTCAATGTTTCAGTCACGTGTTGTTTCGTCTGTTAATTATGCTTACCGAGGAATTTGTGTTCCCATTTTAGGCGATTGCGTTTCTCAGACAGTGCGGGATCATGGGATCAAAGGCCTCTACCGCGGCCTCAGCTCGCTGGTCTATGGCTCCATACCCAAGTCTGCAGTCAGGTATGTGAGATGACCACCATCCTCGATTAATCCACTGTTGGATGAAGGCCTCACAAAGCCATCGCCATCACTCATGATCCAGTAATTTAACAATTCAACGGTTGCGAGCCACTAACTCTACCACTGAGCCACCTGGTTGGTTATTCCGAATGCAGAGAAACCTTTTACAACACTAGAATGGGATGATCGCCGATGAACGGGACTGGTTACAGAATAGGAGCCAAATCAAGGAACCCCCAAGAGGACAACCACGACGGAGATGGAGCGACGTGATCAACTCGTGTGCAGGAGTGAGATGAGGTTGTGGATTTGTAAGAATTTTACAGATGCAGACAGTGTGCGGGGGAGGCCTTCCATCCAGCAGTGGATTGCCAAGGGACCGGGCTTGTTGTACATCTGCAGATACTGTATACAAATTGCATGCCGATGTTTACAGCCACTGAGCATAGGGTTGCCGCAGGGGGGGCCGAGCGTCCCCACGACTGAAGGGCTGAGTCTTGTTTATTTAACATTGACCGTGTCGAGCCCTCCCCCAGAGCATTGTGTATTTGTGTATGGCACCCCCTTTAAATAAGGGTTGTGTAATGTTTCCTTCAGCAGAATGGAACAAGTGAGATGGAACATATGAGACTGACGATGCAAAGTAGCAGGCATGTAACGACGCATTAGATTCTTACGCTCCCAATTCATGCATGGAATGTGCGTGTGATAATTGATCATCTACATTTTATGTAAATTATATGCAAATGGGAGTGTTGCATTTATATCAATGGAGAAGAAAATAAAAACTATACAAATGAGACAAAAAAATGAGAAATACAAAAGACACAATTAAACCAAACGCAAAAAAATATCGATTCCATTCATCTTGACGATTCATTGAATCGTTGAGGCGTGGTGTAGTGCTGATGAAATGTAACGTGTGTACAAACTGGGACAGTACGAACAAAAAACTAAACGTAGCCAAAGCTTCAAAAGATTCGTCACCCTGAATTGTGTTGGTGTATTGAAGCACATGAATCACTGCATGCCTAAGAGCTATAGTCTTTCTACAGCAGTGTGATTTTGTTTTCTCGGAAGGCCTGGCAGTTTTGTCATGAAAGACATTCATTATTTCTTCTTGCCTGTGGCTTTCGGCCATATACGCATTTCAAAAGTCAAAACAATTAAAGTGGTTTCTCAGAATATATAGATGCAGCTAAACTACAGATTCAATGAAAACGGTTGCTGCGAATTCTTCATTTTAAAGAAATCCTACTCTGCGCTATCTTTTGACTGTATCCTCTGGAAGCCCAGTCGCAGCCCAATGTAATGGAGCAATTGCATTGCACTGTGGCTGCGGCAGCAACGCGTGATAGTCGCTCGGTCATGAGAACTGGGCAATGGGTCCGAGATCCCTCGCCTTCGGAGTGGATAATCAATTTAGCTGATGCTATTCCGCCTCCACATCGCTGCTTGTTCCGGTCTGCGTTGATTTATAAGAGGAGGAAACATTTAGCAATTTACTCGAGCAGGGCATTTAATCATGACATAAAATTTCTGCAAGCTTCAGCTGAAAATAGGCAGGTACATATATATCAAAAAAATGTAAGCTATTTTATTTGACCTTCAACGGATATATTTTTGTTTGGCATGTTTTTCAAGAAAAGTGTGTATCCTTTTAATAAAGGTCACAGAGAAGGGTCAAACATGAAGGGTAGAATTTTTTTAAAAGAAAATAAGATTAGCTAGCTGCAGAAATGTTTTACATGTGTGGCTGTGTACACAGGATGCCACGGTGGTGAGACGTTAATGACCTCACCTGGTATATAGGGGGCGTGGGTTCGATCTCGACCCTGACGCCTGTATTTTTGGAGTTTGCATGTTCTCCCCGTGGTCGTGAGGAATTTTAATCCGGCTCCTCCGGTTTTTCCCTCCACATTTAGAATCAAACATGCATTGAAAGTATTTGGCTTGCTCTATATTTCCACATGATAATCCACTTTGTTGAGCTCTCATATGTGGCCAGGTTGCATCTGAAAAAGAGTTCTATAGCTCAGTGGGCCTTACCTGGTAAAATAAAAAAAAATAGTTTCGTTTTAGAAAGACAAGCGTGTGTGCGGTGGCTCATCCTTGTTCTACTTCTGGTTCTGGAGTAAAAAAATCAAAATACGAGATGCATGTTTCAATCAAGCCATCAAATAAAATGAGTAAACCTGCTATTCGTAACATTCTTATATTGCAAGGCTGTTTCACAGACGAGTATAGTCTGCCACTAGGGGGCGATGTTGCTTTGTAGTTTTACCCAATTTGGTAAGTTGCAGGTAATTTTTAAAATTTGGACCGTGATACCAGCACACATGGCCTACTCTTCTTCGAATAATATCACGGGATTTAAAAAAAATACACACACAGTATTAACCGGGGCGGCCGCCACACTGAACCATGAAACTCTGTTCATGGATATGCAGATGAATGATGGGACCAATCGTGGCTGCACATCGTTTTCCTCCCTTTGGACAGATACGGACTGAATCTTGCATTTAATCTTTGGACAATCACAGACTGAATCTTGCATTGTGTTTGGACAGACACGGACTGAACCTCGCATGGTATCTTTGGTCAGACACGGACTAAATCTTGCAGTGTATCTTTGGGCAGACACGGAATGCGAATCTTGCATTGTGCCTCTCATCGTGTGTCGTCTACATTCTCTCTTTGGTTTCCTCAATACGTTTGGATAGTACATTGGAGCAAGGCTTGTGTGCTCTGAAAACATTTCAGGCGCCTATTTTTGCACTCCCGCAGGTTTGGAATGTTTGAATTCCTTAGCAATCACATGCGGGATGACCAGGGCAAGCTGAACAGCACACGTGGCCTCCTGTGTGGGCTGGGAGCCGGCGTGGCCGAGGCTGTACTGGTCGTGTGCCCCATGGAGACCATCAAGGTATGGGCATGCACTCACGCGGCTGTCCGTTGCCTCTCTTGTAGCTGCTTGTTACAAAACAGCACTCTTCCACAAATAGCCTTTTCATGAGCTACATCCATCACCCCTGTGGCTTGGTTGGCCAACAATAAAGTTTCGTCACAGTTGCAATCACTTGAAATACATTATTGTGATCGTTATTATCATTCAGGATTCTTTGCTGTTGCTGAACAATAGTTGTTGATTTTTTTTTCACTGCTCGAAGTGGACGGCACTTAATTTTCGATGTTCTTTCGCTTTTCAGGTGAAGTTCATTCATGATCAGTGCTCTAGTAATCCCCAATACCGTGGCTTTTTCCATGGCGTGCGAGAGATCGTGCGGCAACAGGGTAATGTGTTTTTTTTTAATTGCACTCTTATAATAATTATGATTGGAGCATTTGGTGGTCACGCCATTCTTATAGTATATGGTGATTACGGAAGTGCTGTTTCACAGACGGTGATAGTATGCCAGTCCGGGGGAGGGGTGGGGTGGGTGATATTATGATGTGGTTTTATCCAATTTGTTAAATTGGATTATGACTCTGGCACACATGACCTACACTTTTTTTTGTCCAATAACGTCACGGATTCTTTGAATGTCTACTGTGAAGCAGGTGACGCATATTTATTTGGGCATCACGGTGGCAAGATTTTAACTTCCTCGCCTGGTATGCAGGAAGTCGTGGGTTTGATCCTGAGCCTGATGCCTGTTGTATATTTGGAGTTTGCATGTGCTCCCCATGGTCGTGTGGATTTTTCTCCGGCTCCTCCGGCTTTTCCCTCGACATTTAGAATCAAACATGCATTTAGAGTATTTGGCTGCTATACATTTCCACGTGATAAGCCACTTCGTTGAGCTATCATTTGTGGACAGGTCGCTTCTGAAAAAGAGCTATACAGCTCAGTGGGCCTTACCTGGTAAAATAAAAAAGTTTTGTTTTCATAGTTTATTTGGTTAATACATCCACAGTAATAACCAGGGTGGCCAACAGCTTTGAACCATGAACCCCCGCAACACCAAGTTAAACCCACTACCGCTCGGCCATGTCACAGCGCTTTTGGACTCTATTATAATGAACATGGCGTTAACCGTAATCATTGAAAGTAATAACCTTCACGTTCATTGTACAGCAGTGTATTAAGTCCAAATGTGTTGTTCCAATTCAGGAATAAAGGGGACGTACCAAGGTCTCACTGCCACCGTGCTCAAGCAAGGCTCAAACCAGGCCATCCGATTTTTTGTCATGACGTCACTCAGGAACTGGTATAAAGGTACTGTTTGTATGTTTTGTGTAATATGTTGAGTGCATTTGTTTCTTAAGCAAATTATTTGTACAAAAAAGTTTTTTTGCTAAATGTACCAACCACACTATCGGCATCATGACGTTGAAAGAAAAACATATTCAGATATCTTGAAAAGCAGTGCATTACCTAATTTTTTTTAAATAATGCTCCGTGGAAATAGGCATTGCAGAACTATGCCTGCGTGCCCTTCAAGGGACCTATTTTATCCACGTGCCAGGGGTGCATCTTGCTGCAGATAAATTTTCACTGCATGGGCTGTCAAAAGTAACATTATTAAACATTATTTTTTTTCCAAAGTTCAGACTAATAAAATTAAGAGCTATATTTAATATGATTGAATGTTTGTGTCTTGTCGTTGGTAACATCACCGAGACCATCAATAAGAGACCATCTGCCAGACCCTTGATATTAATTAGTCGGAAAGGTGAGGCCACTTTTTCCAAGATTCGATGGCTTTAAACGTTGTTCTAGGAGACCAAATGACACGTTTTCAAGTTTTTCTTGGCTGTGAATGATGAATCTGGTTCAGCCATCTCATGAATACGCTGTAGAGAATCGCAACCGAGCGAGAGAGCGACATGACTTATAGTGATCTTCTAGAAGGGATACAATGCAAAAATTTGGCATGAGTCTATGCTGATAGTAACTCTAAAATGTAGGGAATTATCAAAATAGATGTTCTGGAGGTCATGTACTGTTTGAAGAATCCATTTGGAACTGTTGTAGAGCAGTATATTTCCCTGTGCTAGTTTGTTGTCCTTCCCCACACCTCCGATTAACATGATTAGCTACGTATGGTGCGAAAAAAATTCGACACGCATACATACAGTGAGGGAAAAAAGTATTTGATCCCCTGCTGATTTTGTACGTTTGCCCACTGACAAAGAAATGATCAGTCTATCATTTTAATGGTAGGTTTATTTGAACAGTGAGAGACAGAATAACAACAAAAACATCCAGAAAAACGCATGTCAAAAATGTTATAGATTGATTTGCATTTTAATGAGGGAAATAAGTATTTGACCCCTCTGCAAAACATGACTTAGTACTTGGTGGCAAAACCCTTGTTGGCAATCACAGAGGTCAGACGTTTTTTGTAGTTGGTCACCAGGTTTGCACACATTTCAGGAGGGATTTTGTCCCACTCCTCTTTGCAGATCTTCTCCAAGTCATTAAGGTTTCGAGGCTGACGTTTGGCAACTCGAACCTTCAGCTCCCTCCACAGATTTTCTATGTGATTAAGGTCTGGAGACTGGCTAGGCCACTCCAGGACCTTAATGTGCTTATTCTTGAGCCACTCCTTTGTTGCCTTGGCTGTGTGTTTTGGGTCATTGTCATGCTGGAATACCCATCCACGACCCATTTTCAATGCCCTAGCTGAGGGAAGGAGGTTCTCACCCAAGATTTGACGGTACATAGCCCCGTCCATCGTCCCTTTGATGCGGTGAAGTTGTCCTGTCCCCTTAGAAGAAAAACACCCCTAAAGCATAATGTTTCCACCTCCATGTTTGATGGTGGGGATGGTGTTCTTGGGGTCATAGGCAGCATTCCTCCTCCTCCAAACACGGCGAGTTGAGTTGATACCAAAGAGCTCCATTTTGGTCTCATCTGACCACAACACTTTCACTCAGTTGTCCTCTGAATCATTCAGATGTTCATTGGCAAACTTCAGACGGGCATGTATATGTGCTTTCTTGAGCAGGGGGACCTTGCGGGCGCTGCAGGATTTCAGTCCTTCACGGCGTAGTGTGTTACCAATTGTTTTCTTGGTGACTATGGTCCCAGCTGCCTTGAGATCATTGACAAGATCCTCCCATGTAGTTCTGGGCTGATTCCTCACCGTTCTCATGATCATTGCAACTCCACGAGGTGAGATCTTGCATGGAGCCCCAGGCCGAGGGAGATTGACAGTTATTTTGTGTTTCTTCCATTTGCGAATAATTGCACCAACTGTTGTCACCTTCTCACCAAGCTGCTTGGCAATGGTCTTGTAGCCCATTCCAGCCGTGTGTATGTCTACAATCTTGTCCCTGACATCCTTGGAGAGCTCTTTGGTCTTGGCCATGGTGGAGAGTTTGGAATCTGATTGATTGATTGCTTCTGTGGACAGGTGTCTTTTATACAGGTAACAAGCTGAGATTAGGAGCACTCCCTTTAAGAGTGTGCTCCTAATCTCAGCTCGTTACCTGTATAAAAGACTCCTGGGAGCCAGAAATCTTTCTGATTGAGAGGGGGTCAAATACGTATTTCCCTCATTAATATGCAAATCAATTTATAAAATTTTTGACATGCCTTTTTCTGGATTTTGTTGTTGTTATTCTGTCTCTCACTGTTCAAATAACCCTACCATTAAAATGATAGACTGATAATTTCTTTGTCAGTGGGCAAACGTACAAAATCAGCAGGGGATCAAATACTTTTTTCCCCTCACTGTACATGCTCAACCACACATTACCACCTGGGTGTTAGCCCAGAGTTCTCAATTACACTGGCTTGGTGCCGTCACCCCCGAGCTACCGAGCCACTTTCCAGCTTCATATTTTTCTCCCAATGAACGCATCCCATACGATTTCACGTTTGTGTTTGCTATTGCCCGACATTTCACACAGGTGACAACCCCAACAAGGAGATCAACCCCATCGTTACCGGCGCATTTGGTGCCACTGCCGGGGCGGCCAGTGTCTTCGGCAACACGCCACTCGACGTCATCAAGACTCGCATGCAGGTCGGGTTTCAGAATTTACAAAAAATTGTGTATTCTGTTTTTCACAACAATACAGAAGCAAACAGAACGGGAAGACACGTCTGCTGAATGCACGTGTTGAATCACGGTGTTCTTCAGGCGTGACCTACGAAAATAGGAGGAAAGAGGGAAAACGGCAAGAGGAAGGAGAGGAGAGGACACAGAACATTTTGGAGAGAAAAGTGGAAAAAATTAAGATGTCGTCGGGATGAAGTCACGTAATGGGGCAATGCGTCAGATCAGAAGAGAATCAACAAAGAGAACAACATCTCCCTGTGTGCCATTGATGATCCTTGCGACAGAGCCCCGAACAGAACATTTTGTTCCCACGTCACGATATGGGCCTGCCGCATTTTCATATTTCGGAATGTGGAACGACGTATCCAGATTTTATCTTCCTATGGTATTTACACGTGTGCATCGCTTCTGTTGTTTTTTGTTGTTGTTTTCCTTCTAGGGACTGCAAGCTCACAAATACAGAAGCACGTACGACTGTGCTTACCAGATCTTCAAGTACGAAGGTCCCAGGGCGTAAGTTTTACCGTGTCACCCTCGGATTATTGCGCACGATCACATTTAGAAGTGAGATGTGATGCTGCCGTTCTATAATGGGTCAGCAAGCTGAACTTGCAATGCAGAGGTCGCATGTTCGATCTCCTGGTGCCGCAGTTGAAACAACGGGCACGCTTCTTCAGTCGCCCTTTGTCCAAGCTGCGTTTATAAATGGGTACACCAACCATATTTATAATTGTTTCACGAGCACAATTCGTCTGCGACCTGGATAATCCACCACACGTGGTTACCCATGGAAAAAGATAAATCCAGAGTTAATTGCACATAGCGTCTTAAGTGCCAAGGATGTCACATCAATTTTGAGATTGTGAACAGAAGGGGGTGGGGAGCTGTCCCCTTAAGTTGTGAAAATGACTTTCCCTTTTTTTTTTTTAAGGTTTTTCAAAGGCACGGTGCCGCGTTTGGGCCGCGTCTGTCTCGATGTCGCGATCGTTTTCATCATCTACGAGGAGGTGGTGAAAGCTCTCAACAAGGTGTGGAAGACCGATTAGGAAGCCTTTCAAGGTCCGCTTCGGGGACGAGCCTTCTTGAGGACCACGTGGCGATTCCTGTCGGGGACATTTGAAAACGCATTACGAGTTGTGTAAATGTCCCGTATGTTTACACAAGATAAGAACGTGACTTATCCGAGTGGCTTCTATATCGTCAACTGCCAGACATGGGTACAGGTGCTTATTTCACTTTGATTCGACTTGCACTTTCAAGACATACCATGCAATTGTTATCCCCCACTCTCTTTGGGTTTGTATAATTCTATTGGACCCATGGGAAGAAAAAAAAAATAGCTGTGCATTTGGAAAGAAAACTGGAGAATATTATGGAATGTGTAGGTCTGGAAGGACAAGTTGAAGTGTCATCAAAGTGATATTGTACTAAGAGCCCTCTCCTGGCCTTTTTGAGTAACAATATTTAAAGAGTGAATTGCACTGTGATGCGCATTTGCCAAGCTTCATAACATACCGTGATGTAATTTTACTGGAAATATTGTACCAATGATATTTTTGTTGACACGTGAAACAAAAAAACACGTCATTTTTTTTTTGGGTGGGGGGGGGGGACTAAACAAAATAAGATTGTTTACCAATTAGGTTTTTACATCGTTTTGAATATTACGTTTTTTGTTGTATTTGGATGAGTAACCGATAACGTGTCTGTTTTAAACATGTTTGTTTCAATATGACCTTTGAATTAAGGACAGACAACGCAATGGTAATTTAAGAACAGATAAATATGCAATTAATACGTTCAGAAGGAACTGCAATACGGTTTTCAAACAATTTAACATCAACTTTTTTTTTTTTTACATTTCATATCTGGGTTAGTAATGCCATTTCACGATACATCAGGACAATTGCCTCCCCTTTGTTATCAAGCATGTGGAATTTCTTTGACAAGGTAAGGGATGGGGGCGTCCTTAGAGAAACCCACAACATCTTATTGTGCAGAAAGACGGCTTTTGTTGAGAGTAGGCAGATTAAGTGGAAGAAAAAAAGTGATTCATCAACTTCATTTGTGCAGCCATTTGCAGGGAGATGATAGATAAATAAATGGTCCAATGAAGCTAACGTGGGTAATCTTACAAACAAAAAGCTGGCGATTATCAACTTTTTCCAGGACACCCCTCAGATACAGGGAGGAATTGTACCCTTGATGTCAGAGCCACATTACAATGAAGGAAATGATTTCGACATTAATCACTATGTTAACATAATACGGTAAAACCTTGGATCGCGAGCATAATTCGTTCCGGAAACGTATTTGTAATCCAAAGCACTCGTATATCAAAGCACTCGTACATCAGTTGTGATCACGTGACGCTCGGCAGACAAAGCGTATACGTGCTACTCGTATTGCAAGACCCTCGCTCCTTTATCAAATTAATATTTAAAATTTTTGCTCGTCTTGCAAAACACTCGCAGACCAAGTTACTCGCAATCCAAGGTTTTACTGTATAGGGGTTTTTTTGGGTTAAATTGCGTAAATATATAAATGTGTCGTTAAACCCGCCACCACCCGATACAGCCAATTAGTAAGGTTTGTCACGTAAACAGAACGTGCCAATTCGTTATTAGAACAGCACACCGGCGTGTTGGAGGGCAAATCCACAACATTTACAATCTGGGTACGATATTTCACCAGTAATTACAATTAGCTTCATCGGGCGATAGCCAGATTTGTGGAGAAATCCTCCTGTTTCGTTCCTTAAATAGAGGGATAGATGTGATGACGTCGGGTGGTGGCGGGTTTAACGACACATTTATATTAACGCGATCTAACCTAAAAAAAAACTATATTATGGATTATATTGGTTGCGAAAGCCTACATGATGTTAACCGTACGTATTTTGATGTTGGGTTTAAAATTGAAAGCATTAACTTTAAAAAAAAATAATACAGTTCTGTTTTCAAAGTCCTAAGTGGGAGGAGAGTATGACATTCAAAAATCGTTAAGTAAAGAAAAAAACATTGCCTACCCGTTCACATGTCGTGAAACTCCAAAGTGCACCTCCATTAAATGTAGAAAAAAATGACCGGGTCATCTTTTAAAATGTGTTAAGTCACCAAAAGTGATCTCAGATAGTTTGAATATGCTGTGTGTCTAAGCTATGGGCACAACTAATTAATAATGATAATACTAATAATGCTTAATGCGCATTCAGAGGGATCATGCAATGACATGGTTGTCGGCTGGCTGCCATCAGAAAAGCCATCGCGTGCTGTATAGTGAAACTGAGTGTTTTTAATGAATTGCTCCATCATTGCGTAGTACCGGTGCCATGTTTGTGCTTGTAATGGGGGTGCCTTAATTGTTAGTGAAAAACCATTTTACTACATTGCCAGATTGTTTGCTGATTATTGTACCGGATATCGCTTGGACTAAACTGTTTACACTTCACCAAAGTCGCAAACGGGGTAGTGGTTGTTGTGTGCAGTATTTTAGGTGTCGCAAAGAGTATTGCATATACGTTGGGCTCTCCAGTAGTTTTATTTATGAAACTCAACAAACTTTGATTTTAAGAATCGAAAGAATGCATTTGATTACTGCAGTGTGATGCTGTGCATTAGTTTGTAATCGCAAAAAAAAACGCAAACGGTAATACATTTTCACGAAAACGACTGCTTTATTAAGCCACTGGTGGACGAAGGCTTTCCAACTTAACCACTCTCGGTAACTACGTTATAATCATAAAAGACAAATGATGGGGGGATAATACGTTTAAAAAAAAGAAGTTAGATTGCTTTGTAAATCCATTGTTGGATGAAGGCCTTCCATTGCTGTATCGGTGGTGGGCGGTCTGGCCATACTTCGCCATGCTGCTGAGTTCGTATTGGATGGATATCACTCGCCGAAGATGTCGACCGTGGCTGTAAATGTAACTTCATAGTGCAGTGAGCTAATTGCCGTCACCAGATTCCCTCCAGGAACTGACAGCATTACTTGGTAGAGAAAAAAAAAATCTCATGGGTCCAAAGTACTACGATTACAAAAGCCTGTGAAATGTACACGTGCAACGACTCCGATGCCTTTGTTTCGAAACCAAAAAATTGTATCGCATATTTATTAGCCGTTTAATACAAGGATATTCTAAGTAGTGGTGGTCTTCTGAAAAAAAATCCATCAGGAAATCACTGATGATGTACGGAGGCCCATTAAAGGTCTAATCGCCAAAATAAGGTATCAAATTGTTGCTTCGGTTTCACTTAAGACATAAAATGTCACGTTAATACAAACAACGGTTTTTTTTAACTGTCGTATAAAAAAATCTGTTTCTGTCGTCTGACCAAGAAATACTACGTTGATATTTACGAAACTCCAGCCTGCCCTTTAAGGCCAAGACTATTTTTTGCAAATCTCAATATTTCCAGAATGCCAATTAACGAAAACACCAACATATTTTTTCTCTCGGATACAATAACACACACAAAAACCCCTCAAGTTATTAAACATTGTTACTTTGTTATCCAAAAATGTTAATATTCCTCGTTCTCTGATGCGTTTTAAGGTTGTACCGCGTGTTGTTTAGTATCGACTCGGCCTCAAATGAGTACCTGGTGCGGTGTGTACATGTCTCCACTGGGGAGACAAAGGCGGCCGGGCGTGGTGCTGGCCACCCACCCCCTCGTGTGTCGTTCCGGCCATTCGTCGGTGCTCGCTAACAGCACTTGCCCCAACATTCTGTTACAGGCTATACTGGGTGGGGATCTTTGTGAACGTAGCAGAGCCCCAACCGTGACCTGCTAAAAATATTCCCATTGTCGGCGATTCGGAAGGTCAATGGTGTAGTGTTTAACATTGTCATTGATAACGTTGTTGTATGCCTTCATGAATCTGATTAAATAACAAGACTCAATGTTGCATCTTATATTTAGTTCTTCATATCACACCCTGGATCAAAAAACAATTAGCGCTTACTACTCTCTGCTTTGGTTGAGATGGTTTTCTCTCTCTCTCTCATATGTCTATATTGACAGATGTACATACATACATTTGGCATCTAACCATTGTTTCACTTTAAATGTTTACCGACCTAAAAACTGGATCCCTAGAGTTATAAAATGTACAAAATTATGCTTGGTAACATGTAAATGCAAATATCTTTAATAATTATGGTAGAAGCTGTGGTCTGAACGTCATGCGCATTGCATTGGCTTGCGGGTTGCTCTATATGCATTATGGGTAAAGGCAAATATAAACTATTTTGTATTTCCACATGATTTAGTCCATCCTAGTGGCTTTCCAGTCCAATATCTCGCAACATTAACCAAAGCAAGCAAAAGGCTTGTCTGGTTTCGAACCCCTGGGTCTCATCAACAGTCAACTTTGCCGCTCAAATGCTGATTAATTGTAAGATGTGATTGGCAAGAGTACTCCTTATAAAACATTGGACCCCCGTGCAATGCAAACGCAATATCATACAGTATATGCGCTACATTAGAATAGTTACATGTGAATAGAGGCTGTAAATGTATGTGGGACGAATGCCTTTTTACCAGTTTCATTACAAACTGTCCACTTTGGTCTCGTGTTGTCAAGACAAATAATCCATTCGCAACTCTCAAAGAGAAGGGCGACGGCGCTTGTTATCGTAAGACCGCATGAAGAAAATGTTCACAGAGCTTGAGATCCCTTCAAGTGCTCTTCTTATTCTACACGCGAGGGGGGGCCCTTCACCATTGGTTGCTGCATGATAGTAAAACTTATACATTGAATAAAACAAAACATTTTTATTTTAATTCTCAGAATTGTACTTTAGCCAAATTATGTCGAAAATCCGATTTAATATTGCGGGGTTTTCTTGCAATCATTGGTGCCTGGGCTGAGGCAATCAATTCAGTACGACACTTAATGGGAATTATAATACAACAAAATCACAGCGCTGTGTCAATCCAGTTCTGGATCAAGGCTTTCCAGCGCCGTGTTGACTGTGGGTGGTTTGTTTGAGCATACTTCACCACGCGGATAAGTATGGTTATAATAGCGAAATACATTATTGAAATAAAACCATCGCAGTGCTGATATATTCAATTTTCATATTTGGACCTTAGTCAAAATATATTGAAATCGAATTTGTACGTTGAACTTCTTTCGCACCGCACATAGCCAACCATGCTAATATGATGGGTGTTTTTATGCACGCATTGGTGACCGAACTGACACTATTCATTTTTGAAACAAATCGAGAATGCATTTTAAATAATGGGTGGCTAAAACCCTGGATCTGAACCCAGGTTCTCATCGGTGCTGACAAAATACATGCACATTTCTTTTTTTAAAATCTCTAAATGATCTTATCAGCGGTCAACAACAGAAGAAAACCTCAGTAATTTATTTGAATCCTATCGTTATGCATACATCTTAGACCGTAAATACTGCAGAAGAAATATATGTTGAGTAATACATGTTGGTGCATATAATTTCAATGCATCAATTTTTAAAAAAAAATTTCACCATCCATGTAGCTCCAGATGAGGTCTGTATAAATGTGGTGACTTGCTAAAATTGGGTTTAAATTAACACCTCTGCTGGATGCATACAAGTGAATATTGGTAAGGGTGCGATATCAGTTCCTGGGATGAATGGCGTTAACGAGCGAAGGCTTGGATGGGTCTCAGAGTGGAAATTAAACATCTAGCTGGCCGGGTGGCTCAGAGGTCAGAGCGTTGAGCTGCCATCACTGAGATTTTGGGTTCGAAATCGGGCACTTACCTTTCATCAAATGTGGTTCTTCAATGTCGCGAGTTGATGGTCTCAAGCAACGCTCTGCTCTCTCCTTGAACGAATCTGAGGCAGTAGCTCTGCGTGATCAGCTGACGTGCGCCATTCTCTAACACGAAGGACAGTGCATATTATTATCAGAGTTGTCTTTTTTGTTTGCATTTTGACTGCTTGTGTTGTGGTCATTGCAAACATGATGCCTTGAATAAAGGTGTCAGTTTTTGTGCCAGTTAAAAGGGTAAAACCTATTCCTACGAAGGGTTTCATTGGCCTCCGAGAGATGGATACTTCATCTCATGTATGTATAATTTATGCCATGACGTGTCGTTAGAACAATTGGGATAACATCGGGTACAGATTAAAAAAAAAAAATGAAAAGTGGGCACATTTATGTCTGTTGTGTATTTTTAAGGAATATATTTTTATTCACCTTCACGAGGACAATTCATATTTTACACGTGTACTCCGTAGTAGGCTATACAAAAAGCCACGTGTTGCTTATTGCAAGGCATGAAATGTCATTAACAGCTTCGTCCTCTGTTGAAGCATGCTGTGGGCATTGTTGATAGACCCCATTTAGTCGGGTCCCGTAGCCCTCAAGGGATTTTTCTACTATCATGATATCATTTAATTCAAATCACAGCATGGGTCCCTTACGCTTGGCTCCACCGAAGGGGTTCGGATTTCTTTTTTTGTGCGATGGGAAGCCCCGACAACGACAGAGCTACACAAATACTCTATTCGACTGGAGGAAAAAAAGACGACGCGTAACTTGTAAATAAATTGGAGGCACCTGCGTATTTTGTAATCCCCCTTTTGCACTCACCGCAGGCAATTTGGGACACGAGACGGGATTTAATGGATGGAGAATACGTGGAGGAGGAGGATGTGGGGGGGAGAGGAATTGGACACGCGCAGGTCGCGGCTCTGTAAACGCCACAATAGAAAATCGAGTGGGGGGGGGGGGGGGGACCAATCAAGCACTACGCCCAACCAACAAACCAGCCGCTCGTAAAAGCCCAAACAACGAATCAAGTAGCCATGATTACGATCCCTAACCATAACCAAATAGGGGTGGGGAACCCACTGACCACTAGAACTGCCTGTTTGTGTTTTTGGCTCGCCATCGGATAAAGATGATCACCACATCGCACGCGTTCGCGGCCGTGTGGAATGTTCTTCCGATATTAGGAAGGCACTTTTAAATCTAGATGAAAAACTAATTTCTGTAGAACCGATGTTTGTGTTTAGTTCGTCGTTTTTATCCTCGCGCCTCCCGATTCACGCGGTGGACTACGTACGGTGCGAAATTAAGTTCAACATGCACACATACTAGCCCAAACCCCAACCGGTTATCCAACCGACCACGAGTACTAGCCCTTAACCGAACGAGTCAATTGGCTACTATCCTTTCCCCCAATAGTAACCAACTAGCCAACCGAGCACGTGCCCCTAACCGCACTAACCAACCACCCTGTCACTAACCAGAGCCCCCTCGCCACCATCCCAACAGATTCACACGTCCGTTACGTTGTGTTGAGTAAACGGATTGAAAGTTTGTTTTATTTCGTCAAAATAAGTTGCGCGCGTGACAGATTTCACCCAATCAAAGTGAGTAATTATTTCATGAGGCCTCCTTTGCCAGTACCAAAATATAATAATGGGGTTTTTCCCAAACTTGATTTGGCGCGTTCGTGACTGCCAGTACCAAAATATAATAAATAGTTTTTCCCTTTTTTATGGCGAAATCCTTGCAAAAGATTTCAGTCTTGTCGCCAGAAAAAAGGGGAAAACCTTATTATTATATTTGATTAATTATTATCAAGGCACTCAAATACAGGATCTCTTCACCTATACCGCAGCCTCCACCCCTTTGGTTCTCAATCGTAAAAAAAAAACCCCATTCATCACGTTAATTCAGACATAGCTTTGATGAAACGAAGTAGCCGTGTCCTTACGTGCCCCTGCTCAATTTGTATTTTCGACGATTTGCCTTCTAAAAAAAAGAATGTATCTGCCCGTGTCTCGCACCGCCCAGAAAGAGGGCATCTCGCATCCCCCAGGGGATGGCGTGCACCCCAAGTGAAGAGCCCCACTGGTCGAACGGAAGAACATCGTGGAAACCCGCGGAGAAAACGGCGACAGAGACGCAATTCCGTTCCTTCGCACAACGGAAGGTTATTAACGTGATCTGGTTAACCGGGCAATTTTGATTCGAACAATTTGCCGAGTTAATAACCTTAATGGGAAATCCATTGATTCGCAAGCACGCGACGCCAATAGCGGCTGTGAATTAACAACAAACTCGTGTCTTGGAGACTAACGATGACGAGTCACTCAATTTACTTGAGTAACAGGGCAAATTGATTCGATTGAGTCGTCTCCCTTTTATTGGGAACCCGAGAACGTGATTGTTGCATTGCCCCCTCCCCCCCCAGGGCAAGCCCCTCCCCCATCCCCACCCCACAGGACATGCCCCCCCCCCCTATCCCCGTCCTCCAGGGCAAGCCCCCCCCCCACTCCTACCCCCAAGAAAAGCCCCCTGCCCCCTTATCCCAACCCCCCAGGGTAAGCACCCCCCCACACCCCACACTTCCCAGGGCGTGGTTTCCGATGCCTTTGTTTAATTCCACGGTGGGGTGAGCCCATCTGCCTTACCGCACACGCGCGCACGCAAGCGCGTGTGCGGTAATTATGTACACGGCTTGACCTCCCACCTCGCGAGCCACCTTTGCTCACTCGTCCACTCAGCCACCCACCCACCGCACTGCCCTCTCTCCTCGTACCCAATGCGGTCAGTTGCTCTGCTGGAACATGTATACCATACTCTTTGGTTCTTTCGGTAAAGTCACGTTGGTAGAAAAAGAATAGATCGCAGCACAAGCGATGGTCATCAGGTGGAACAACCACAGCAATTAAAAAAACTGCCGAAGTTGTGTTTTCTTGTGTTGCGATCGAAACGTCTTGATCTATTATTTTTCTACCTAAGTGACTTTACCGAAAGAACCAAAGAGTATGGATTTCTGCAGTCACGAAAGCTTCAAATCAACATGTATACTGTTGCGTATATTCGCATCCTCCGTCCGCCCATCCACGAACTTTATCCAAACCCAAGCCACTCCGTGCACTGCTCATTCTCTCCCGTAGAGGCAATGTGGACCAGTGGCCCATCGAGAACCATATATATGATTATATAGCGGATTAGCATACTCCACCCACGCAGCCCCTCCCCACCGCTTTAAAGGGACTGATTTGGTTCAAACCAATACACAAGACCATCACCGTGGGTGACGACGATAGGACCTGGGCCGACCCTCGCTCAGTCATTGAATCATCATCATCATCAACAGCACTATCATCAACAACAACGCCATCAGCAACACCATCGTTATCAAGGGAAAGGCGAACACGCATCCCACGTGTTGCCTCCATTCCCACGTCAGCTAACCTACAGGACAGCCTATTCCGTTAATGACACAGGTGAACACTGTAACAGTCAATCTTTTTTAAATACATTTATTTGAACGAGGGTACAGTACGAGACTTATCCAGTTGAGCATTTGCAATCGGCAGTCTCCCTCCCTCACCTTAATTGCTTACAACTCCGAGCGCAGCCGCGCAGAGAAGAAAAGGAGGCTCAAGAGATCCATCCTCTGACGATGCAGCTGATGATGATGATGCTGCTGCGGCTGATGATGATGATGGTTCCGCTGGTGCCATCTCCGAGCGAAGCAGCTCGCTCCTGGTCGCGTGTAGGAGGTGGTGGCGGCGGCGGTGGTGGTCGTGGTCGTGTCGTGGTGCAGGCGAGGCTGCCTTCATCATCATCCTCATCATCCTCCTCGTCATCAGCCTCCGGTTGTGCCGGGCGCTGGGTCCCGCGCTGTTGCCCCGATCGGGACCCCGACTGCTTTGGCTACGGGAAACGCGGGGGTCGCTGCTACTGCGACGCGGCGTGCGCAGCCACTGGGGACTGCTGCGAGGACTATCGTCGCGTGTGCAACATCGCGGGTAGGTCGAATGCGCACGTGGATCAAACAGCAGGCAGTGTCTCTCTGCTCGTCTGTCCATCCGTCCGCCTTTGTCGAGGCTCTCTCTCTCTCTTAGCCATGGGGGTGGGTAAGAATGTTGTGTACAGGTGTGCAGAGGGCAGGTGAGCGTGGTTAGTGTATGGGGAGGTGGGGGGCAGTGTGGGGTCTGTCAGTCATGGGTTTACGTCGCGCGCCTACATCACGGCTGCGGCATGGATACGGTGCAGGAGAAATTTTGAATTTTTTTCTAGCCGGGCAACGTCGGCGCCACGTTACGGCGACAAAACGCACGGACACAACACGGACGTGGGCACGCCGTCACACAGTGACCGCGTGCCCACGTGGTAACCTGGGCAAGGGGGCGCCAGGTGAATCTGGCAGGCGTAGGGTGTGGAGCTATGGGTTAATATTATGGTGATAGCGACAAGTGAAAATGTAAGGTTTCTTGAGTGAAGCTGACTCAAGGGCAGGTCCTAGGCATGGTGTTTAGAGCAAGGTTTGGAAACATCCGTACCGAGAGTTGCATAAGACTTTCAAAAGTTTTTTGCCAGACAACCACACGGTCGCATACCGTATACACCTCGGCAATAATAATATGTGTTTGTGTACCCGGAGCCGTCCCTAGGGTATTGCGAATTGGGGCGACCGACCCGGGCCCCGCGCTTTTGGGGGGGGGGGCGCGCTTCGACGTCACGGTATCGGATGTTAATATTTTCGGTTTAATTTTGAAGGCGTTTGGGGCCCCACGGAGTGGGATTTTCCCGCCTATGGATGGCCCTGCGTGTACCAAGTGCAGATAAGCCTGGCCATGAGCATAAAGGTCCAAGGTGGGGTTAGCCACGGGGGGTGGGGGTGGGGAGTCGTGACTTGGCGAGTCAAGTGCAGCTGCTCAGTTTGTCCATTTTAGACGGAGGTGCATGTGGTATCAAGCGGAGATAATGCTGCTGGCCACGGGGCGACCTGTTCTTTACGGGAACAAAAGTGCAGGTGATTAAAGTGCAGCTAAAGCTGACGGGAGTGGCAGCCAATGAATGGAACCTGCCCACCGAGGAGATGGAGCGATCTACATTTGCTCGTGCGCAGTTGGTGCTGGGTGGATAATTATGACACGCCACAGAGGTTGAGAACGACAAGACTGATGGGGGGTAAGGGGGAGGAGGGGAGGCCGAGCGAGCAAGCTCTCGGTGACGATGGGGCCATGGCTGATAATGAAGGCTGGGTGACTCGCAAGCTCGCACGATGGAGGAGGGCATGCCCCATATCGCAATGCGCTCTCACACAAGTGGGTTTTGTCAGTGACCAGTCAATCATAATAATTTGTATTATTTCAGGCAGTTGCGCTGGGTTTCTAACTTGTTACACCAACCGCGCTGCTGAGTGTGAGGACCCCCCCTCCCCCCCAACAGGACCCCCCCCCCATCCATCCACCTAGCGGATTTTATTGGGTGGGGGCGCAGATGTTCACGGAGTTGAACTGGGCCCCCAATGGGACCCCTTTCCAACGATCAGCAGGATAAGCCCACTCTGGGGACTCGAATAATGGACCTGTCAATAAACTGTCATTTCCACAACAATCACAAACCGCAGTTTAAGTGACTCTTCATTAACCCCTTGCACCGAGGACGTACTTGTTTAGTTGATTTATTTTTGTTTGAACTTTTGTCTTCCTCTTTCCCCTTGGACAAAATAGAAATGAAAATCCAAGATTTATTTTTGTTGGCAATAAAATTGATTTTTCTGTTTCATGTTCGTTGGCCAGATGGCAAACTGCCCCCCCCCAGTGTCCCCCTCAATAAATATGTAACGAGATTGGGCGATCCATTTACAGACACCCCACAATAAAAAAAACAATGAGGAGAGAAATCAACATTTTATTTGAAGCCAACACACGTGTAAAATCACTCATCACTCTAAAGGTTTCGGGCCATCTCTTTCATCATAGCAAAGCACCTTTTTTGATAAGTAATTCGTGGGGTATCTATACATGGATCAAGCTGTACAATGCCATCATCATCCACGGTCGATCCACTGCTGGATGAAGGCCTCCCCCAAGCCTCTGCCACATGTCACAATACTGCGATGTACTAATCCACCAGGCACCTGCCGCGTATGAACTGCACAATGAAATGATACAGCATGTGTTATTTATTTTTCCTTGAGAAACAAAAAAAATGCTTGGGACAGGCAGTCGGAATATATCCCCAGGACACAACTGTACATCCTTGACGCTTTTTCTTCAAAATCTGGTCACGACGCTGGTAACGTGAAATTTTGTGGTTTTGTGCCCATTTATCTTCATTCGACTCACATGTTCGGGCTTAAAAGTAGTGACCCCCCCCCCCCGCCTCCCCCAGCTGTAATGAAGGCGTGTAAGCTTTTAATGAGCGGGGCAGCTGGCCCCTCTCGCAAGGCTGTGGAGTAGTAGGAGGAGGAGGGAGGGAGGGATTTGCCGTGTCCCATTGCGGTTCAATGGGCTATCACCCAGGCCACACCCTGGCTCTCTCGAGTGCTCTCCCGAGTGCCAGGGTGGTGGAAGCAATGAATGTGGGGAGGGGGGTTGACGGTACACACTCTGACCCCCCAACATCCACTCCTCCCGTGACCTTAGAGTCCTTGAAAAGAAACTCCCAACATCGCCATCCAAATGGGTATCTTGTCACCGCCACGCGCAAATGGTATCCCGATGGCGCTATGGACATCATGTCCGTTCGGAAATCTTGCGACGCAGTGTGCACGCATTGTGATGAAGGTTTTTGGGTTAGATCACATAAGAATAAATGTCTTAACCCTTTACCACCCGACACAGCCAGCAAGGTTTGTCATGTAAACAACGCGCCAGTTGGTTACAACTTCAGTCTACCGGTGTGTTGGAGAGTAAATCCACAACATTTACAGTTTAGAGTACGACGTTTCGCTAGTGATTACATCCGGCGAAACCCAACAAACACCTTAATTGTGAATAATATCGGTCGCGAAAGCCTACGCGTTTTAAACTGCATGCGTTGTGCTAGAGAATAACCCAGGCAAGCGATATCTGAGAGATGACGCTTGAGATCCTTGCTCGTGACCTGTCGAGCTCCAAATTTATTTATTTATTTATTTGGTATAGCCCTGGGAGCCATTCGGCTCTTGAATCGGGTGCAACCACAACAAACAAAAAAACACGAACAAGAAAAACATCTTGGCCTTGAGGGCGGATATGACATCGGCAGTAGTTTAACGAGCAAGGATCGGGGAAAATGAAAAGTCCTCATGATTAGGTTTTTTTTAGAATCGTTCTTTATCCTGGAGAAATCCGTTGAGCTGTTAAGCTCTTTTTTTGGAGATATGTCGTCACACTGCCTTCAGCGTCCTCCCCACTAACTCTGTAACGGCCGTTGTCCCGGACGAACGACAGAGTAGCAGTCAAGGAGGGAATGGACGAGTCACCTGGAAATCGTCCTATCATCCGTGACCTTCCATAGCAAACGGGAGTTATTATTGCGGATAATACGATCTGCCACCAACGCGACCTTCACATCAAAACGGATCGGGGGCGGAGTCTCACAGTGGAGAGTATTTTTTTATGCGTTTTGGCATTTCTCAGGACGATGATGATGGCGGTGCATTTTTTGTGGAGGAGCTGGCCCATTGGGGCCCAAAGCAAAAGTTATGTTTGAGCCCCCTCCCCACAGCCCCTCTTGATTCATAAACTCCCAGTAGGATGACAAAAGAGATGTAGACAAGAGATACAGATGGAGAGTTTTTTTTACAAACACAGATTAGGGGGAGGAGAGGAAGAGCGAAGATTAATGGGAAGGATAACATGAACAGGGACATGAAAGTGGCTGGGATTGGGGGGGGGGGGGTCTGGGGAGACCATTCACAGACGGAAGTGGAGAAGGGAGACCTGGGCCCCCGACCCCAGAGCAACGTGAGAACAGTGGCAGCAAGAAGGAGAGAAATGAGATCTAGAGACACGGACAATAGAGATGTAGTGACGTGAGAGACACAGACAATAGAGATGTAGTGACGTGAGAGACAAAGACAATAGAGATGTAGTGACGTGAGAGACATAGACAATAGAGATGTAGTGACGTTGAAAACACGGAGAATAGAGATGTAGTGACGTGAGAGACGTAGACAATAGAGATGTAGTGACGTTAGAGACATAGACAATAGAGATGTAGTGACGTGAGAGACATAGACAATAGAGATGTAGTGACGTGAGAGACACGGACAATAGAGATGTAGTGACGTGAGAGACCAAGACAATAGAGATGTAGTGACGTGAGTGACACGGACAATAGAGATGTAGTGACGTGAGAGACACGGACAATAGAGACGTAGTGACGTGAGAGACATAGACAATAGAGATGTAGTGACGTGAGAGACACGGACAATAGAGACGTAGTGACGTGCGAGACACGGACAATAGAGATGTAGTGATGTGAGAGACATAGACAATAGAGATGTAGTGACGTGAGAGACACGGACAATAGAGACGTAGTGACGTGAGAGACATAGACAATAGAGATGTAGTGACGTGAGAGACACGGACAATAGAGATGTAGTGACGGGAGAGACACGGACAATAGAGATGTAGTGATGTGAGAGACATAGACAATAGAGATGTAGTGACGTGAGAGACATAGACAATAGAGATGTAGTGACGTGAGAGACACAGACAATAGAGATGTAGTGACGTGAGAGACATAGACAATAGAGATGTAGTGACGTGAGAGACACAGACAATAGAGATGTAGTGACGTGAGAGACACAGACAATAGAGATGTAGTGACACGAGAGACACAAACAATAGAGATGTAGTGACGTGAGAGACACAGACAATAGAGATGTAGTGATGTGAGAGACATAGACAATAGAGATGTAGTGACGTGAGAGACATAGACAATAGAGATGTAGTGACGTGAGAGACACAGACAATAGAGATGTAGTGACGTGAGAGACATAGACAATAGAGATGTAGTGACGTGAGAG